TTTGAATATTGTTAAAGAACAAATTTACAGGGCGACAATTTTTAACTAACACAACGTTTCTACGGGAAGTAAACTTTTGTGTCGATTTTCCCATCTGTAAATTAAGAGATTGTTTCTATTACCAGTCAGGGGCGGATTCAGAAGTTTGTCAGGGTGGTCACCTTACGCACTCTAATAAAAATTCAATTTTGTTTTATTGATATTACTGTCATGACATGAAAATAACAATTAAAGCACATGGTTACAAAGGACTTATAAAATTGATTCTAATCTTATTTTTCGTAGATGCCTGCGTTCAAACATGTCAACGATCACATTAACTTCTAAATGTAAATTATAATGCACGTGCATCAGTGCATCAATAAAAGTTTGTATATCGACCGTCACTTTCTAAAATATTGTCATTGAAAAGCTGTGCTTTGGCTCTTGCCTCAGCGTGGCTCTTTTTACAAAAATTTATTATCCCGGCCGAAATGTTCGTTTAGTCTAGTACAAAAATGTGCCAAGGTAGTTTATGAATTGTATGCTAGAGCTCTCAAATTGTCAATCCCAAATAGAGCACAGTCAATATATACAATTGTTATAAGCTCCTATTTTTAAAAGGGAGCACACAAACCCGTCATATCGAATCAGCCAGTTTCTCTGCATATTCCTTTACGGGAAAGTTATTGTTTGTTCCCGGTTGAAAATGATTTCTTATCAAATTAATTTTTTGTTCATTTGTTATTAGACATGTTGATTGATTCACAAGGTCAATGTCGTTTATACCTATATGTATGTCGGGGGTTGTTTCATGATTACAATCACCATTTATTGCTCGTATCAATGCTAGGTCCATTACGAGTCATTGGTACTTCATAAGGGCTGGTTTCTTGTGTTTCCTGAAGGAAAGAGGGTAAAAATTACAAAAATGTAAAATACCCGAATGTTTAGACAATTGACAGAAGGGGGTAAAAGATTAAGAATGTTAATAAGACTCAAAACGAATAAAAAATATTTGGATTTATATATCATAGTAGTAGAAAACCATTCATGGTCGAGGAAAATTGCCATATAAATTGAAACTTTTAAAATTTAAATAAAAATATTAATTACCTACTGAAAACACCTAAGATTGAGAACTGTCTCTTTATTTTTACACCTACACATCAAAGGAATCGAAGGAATAATTAACGCTCGCTGATTACAATCATGTTCATTGTATAAACATACATGTCAAGGTACATGCATATTGTCTTAATGTAAGTATTGACAACTTTATTACCAGTGATAGACAAATTGATAAATCAATCAAAATATTACATTAACATGTATATGGTGCACAATTTTTGCTAACCCCGTGTATTGATTTCCGTTGATGCAATTGATTACAAATACATTTAAAAATTTTGATTACATATTGTTTCAAAATAGCTCTCATTAGCAATGTGCAGCGCTATTTAACATTTTGATTTTAAGGAGATATGTTAAATTGTTCAAAACAATTTCAAATATATCATGTGGAATCTGTAGTATTCAAATAAGTAGGTTTCAAACACTTCCGATTGACACTGACACTGACAAACACTGACCATGCAAGTGAAGCAAATATAGGTGAAATTTGCCCTTTTCCTTTTCACTGACATTTATTTAAATAGATACAGCGACATTAAAAAGTATTTGTGGAACTGGGAACATCATTTTCAAAAGGTTGGTTGTAAAAATGTCTGTGAAAGTATAGCATCGCTCTGTTTCATTCATTGCCTGCATCTTAAGAAACTACAGTAGAGATCAATTCTAACCTCTCATTAGAACTGTCAAAATAATCTGTCATAGAACTGTTCTAAACTGTCCTAGAACAGTTCTACCCTAGAACTATTCTAAGCAGAACTGTCAGAATCAGTTCTAGGTAGAACTGTCATGATCAGTTCTAGGGTAGAACTGTCAGAATCAGTTCTAGGTAGAACAGTCAGGATCAGTTCTAGGGTAGAACTGTTTAAAACTGTTCTAGGTAGAACTGTCCAAATCAGTTCTAGTCGTAGAACTGTCAGCAGAACTGACCAAATCAGTTCTAACCGCAGAACTGACAGCAGAACTGTCTAAAACTGTTCTAGCCGTAGAACTGACCAAACCTGTCAGGATTGTAGAACAGTTCTAAATGACGTCACTGCATTTTTTTAATATATATTATATTCTTTTGACTTATTTATATTTGAGACAAAGAGTTCTTAAAACTGTTCTATGGATAGAACTGACTAAATCAATACTAGCCGTAGAACTGACCAAATCAGTTCTTATCGTAGAACTGTTCTAGTCGTAGAACTGACCAAAGATTTGGTCAGTTCTAGGTAAAACTGTCTTAAACTGTTCTAGGGTAGAACTGTCAGGATCAGTTCTAGGAAGAACTGTCTAAATCGGTTTTAGGTAGAACCGACCAAATCAGTTCTAGGTTAGAACTGTTCTAGCTAGAACTGTCTAAAAGGTGTCAGGATGACAGTTCTACATACTGTCCTAGAACAGTTCTCCTGACAGATTCTGACAGATTTGATGAGAGGTTAGAAGTGATCTCCACTGTATGTGGCAAGGGTTTGATGAAAGATTCAAAGATATTTTAGAAAATAGACAACTTGAACATGTAAATTGGTTTCGTTTTAAAATAGGTAAACCAAAATGAGGTACGTTTAGAGTTGCATTATTTTCACAATTGGGGACCAGTTTAGAACCAGAACGGCAAAAGGAACTAAGGTTAAATGAATACTGTATTGTGAAAACTGTGGAAATATTGTAATACTGTAGTTATCGGTAGTAATCGTAATGTACTATAGTAATTTGCAGGATATTACTTGAAAAGCATCGAAAATAGCACCATATAATATAACTCAAACGCCCCTTGGGAATGAATAAATTTGGACTGAGTATTCCGGCATTCATGAAACAGAGCGTAAATAGACTTCAAATTACACCCTCGTATCAAAGACTTGAAATTTTAGAACAAAATTGACCCTGACAATTTAAATTGTAAAAATATATGTGTCTGTGGTTACTGGGAATTACGTTGCAAAACCTGTCGAGAGGCCAGATAAGCCCACTTTGGAAGGTGATAGAAAAAAACCTGCAAAAATGACAAACCAACAGAAGGAAAGAAAATATAAGCCCAAACGCTAAAAAAACGTACGATTTGTGTTGGGATGTTGCTCATGTGGTCCCAAAAAACTAAAGGATACAATAAACGCAGGTCGAAGTAGCTGCAAATGAGGTGAACCGTTTTTAGCGAGTACGGATCCTGATTTCCGATTATTCGGTATAAGTGGTTGATATCGAGGACTACTATGTATCCACATGTATGTCATGTAGCTCTAATAATTTTTTTTTCATACCCGCGTCGTTCGTCAGAGCGTGCGAGAGAATATTTAGTTTTGTGGGAAACATTGTGACTACGAAGAGGGCAAACTTATTTGCAAACGTTACATGTTTGAACAAGAACTTCCGTTTATATTCCAAATAATTCTGAAAATTTAAAAATCGACATTTTTAATGCTGTTAAGGTGTAGAATGATTTGTAAAATGTACTATTATGCCTTTTGTCAACTGAAAATGATTGCTTGTTTGTTTGTCATGGTGAATTTTCAAATGTTTAAAAAAATAATAAGCATTAATTGTGCACGGCGTGTCCAGCTTTTTATGTATGTTTCATGAATATTATAATTAATATGACTAAGTTTTATTTGAAAATGAGTGAACGAAAATAAAATAAAAAGTACGTAAGAAATACATCTCGAATTCTAACATTTGTAGTAGTATGAAGCTTTTTTTTTTTGCAATCCAAGCACACCTATTCTGATAGGTATTTCACTTGACCCATTTGCTTTATTTCTTGGTACTGTAAATGTTAAGTTTTATTACATCAACACGACGCCTCAAAAGTAATGGAATCTCAAGCGAGATGCTGTATCAAATATCTGTGCCTTGTACGTTTTTATGACATAACAGTCAACTCAAACACGCCTGAACATAAAAGATGTACCCTACTTTCTGTTTTCGATGAGATAATTATTGCCCATTTTTATGAATATTTCCAAAAGAAACTGTTTCCGGGGGACAGAGATGCAATTTAATGCTTTAAAATATCAATCTTTTATCTTTCTTTCGGCGTAATTCATGCTTATGCACAAAACAAAGAACAACATATATTTGCACCTACCATAATCGACTGTCTTTACTTGAAAAGTTTACAAATATCTCGAAGCTCCACACTATAATTCAACTATACACACGTATATAAGCTGCAACAAATCCTAAATTATGCACCTATTTTAAACTTTTAAAGTCCATAGAAAAAGATGTTAACAATTAAAATATACCAACTTGACCATTTATACCTTCTCCTAATAAAGAGTTCCATTTCCTTTGTTTAATTTCAACTGGATGTCATTCCGCCTGCAATAATCCAGTGTATGTTTTTTTTTTAAATCAGATTTATTATTATTTGTAAGTGATCTTGACAGTATCAAGCTGTAGCCTAAATACAAAACCATTTCCTTTCAAAGAAGTCAAGAAAACTTTGAGGGAAGTTTTCTACCCAAGGTCTTTCGGACAGACGAACGGGATCGAGCGGTTACTAGACATGCTTTTGCCGTTGGCGACGCATGTTAAAATGTGCAATGACATGATTTTGTGGTAAGGGGTCCTTCATTGTCGTTTAACTGTGATCCTAGTGGTCGAAATCTCAGGAGTTAAAAATCTAAATAAATAAAAATTTGCTGTAAATAATCCGACAGATCATCAGCTACAATGTAATATTGAAATATTTTTAAAAAATGGCTTTTTAATAATGACCTGAAGTTTATTTAAAGCCGACTATGTTTTAGTAGTGCTTTCACAGTGGTAATCGGGAGTTGTTGAACTAGTAATGACCATGCATTTGTAAAAAAAATAGAATCTAAAAAAAAGGTTTGCTATAGAAATGTAAGTAAACTTTAAACCAAACTGTAAAATTTGCTGATAAAAGAGGAAATTGGTGGTATGTTGAAATTTTGAAATTTATTGTCCACATTTACAGATTGTCAGTTATCAAACATTATTAAAAGACACTGTCATATAATGTATATACACTAAGAGTATGTTAATACAATAACTTGCTGCAGACGGCACGTAATCAGCTTTTCAGCTAATTATGTAGATCTGTACATGTAGTTAGTAGAGTGGTAAACGGCCATTGTGGCCTCCAATTATATTTTCTATTCAAATTTTAGAGTACGTTTTCAACAAATTATCATTAATAACACATTTATTTCCCGATTTATGCAATAAATAAATATAAATTTCGTGTAGCCATTGTTTAATCACATACAAAATGCAAAAAGATATCGGACTCATTAATTGTAGGTAGATGGTCTGGCCCAGGTGCACTCCATAACATTCTGACGGCATCGCCATAGTCTTCACCGTAACCTTTTGGCCCTCGGTTTGTTATTTTTATTGAACCATCACAGTGCTTGTATCCACCAATTAAATCTCTACAATGTGGTTTACAAACATTTCCACAAGGACCATATGCTGTTAAAACTACATCTGTCGGACCCATTTGTGGACTTTTCACTGCAACATACATTATAGATGAATCAAATGGCTGACGTGCGTCTAACAGAGCAAACTCTCTGTAACTTCCATGGTAGTTTAGCCCATCACTGTGTACTGCAACTTTGGTAAAAATGCTGTCCATTTCTCCACATGTTCGAGGTTGTGGCTTGACTGGAAATAGATCTATTAAGCTGCTGTAGCCAGTAGGATCGTAAATATCTTGAAATGCTTCCAATTGTCCTCGTTTCACAGGAAAGGAGTCGAACTGCATTTGTTCTGGTTGTCGCTTATATACAATTTTTACAGGTACATATACCCAGACACGTGTATCAGACAAACCGTTCATCAGATACATATTTTGTATAACGTTGTACGGATTGGTCGAGGGACAAATATCGTTTACTGGACTAATCATTTGGTCAGTATAAGTCGGTCCAACATAACCGTCCGTAAAAGTATCCAAATCCATAATGGCTGTTTCGTTTAATGCTTGTCGTTTGCCACGACGTCTAGATCTGCTATTCCTCCCTGTACGTCTTCTTCTTGTACGCCTTCTTCTTGAACGTCTTCTTCTTGATTGACGCCTACTAATTATTTCGACAGATACACATCTTGGTGTGCCACTCCTTGTAATACAACGAAGGTAGGAAGAGCCACAATTAGTGTTTGTGAACGAACAAGTTGGAGCCGGCTCATACGAGTAAATTCGGGATGTGTACATACTACTCATTCCGTGAATGTTTCTAAGTCTTCCCAATCGCATTGGTCGTCTAGGAGCTTGGGAGGCGGGGCCGTAATCTGATGGATAATCTGTTGTGGGATTGACACCACGCCTCTGTTGGTTTCTCCGAAATAATTCCCAAACATAATCAACAAAACTATGATGCAAATAAAATATCGGATCAAAACCGGCCGTTTCAGCAGGTTCCATAAGGCCTCCAACCCACTGATGAACATCACCATGTCTTATCTCATAATCGTATGGTGGAACTGCATTCGGCTCTGCTATTTCGTGTAAACGGCTTCTTGTTAATATAGCCCTAATTGTGCTGTAATCAAACAAATCCCCTATTTGTCCACCATTTCTTACTAAGGGACCAGCCGGTGTATTCCAATTTCGGAAAGGACCATTCCTTACTCGTCCCTTACATGACCCCATAAATGAATTAGACCACATTATAGATCGTGTAGCATCACGCAGTGGTTTGTCCAATCGTGAATCCCAATAAGGGATAGTCACTCCTGGGATTTTTTGCCTTAATGCATTTTCACACCTGAAGAAATAAAAAACATAAAAATATACTTACATTTGTAATACTTCCGGCAGAATTTTTAAAGGCGGTTATATGGTTTATACAATTATATTAAGACGTTAATTTCAAATTGTTTCACAAATATAAAGTAACAACGTCGTACGATTAACTATTAAAATCATGATATTTGACAGTACGTCAAGCATGTTTTTAATGAACTTTTATATAATTTATTGATTCTATTGAACATTTGTTTGCAATACACACATTATTGGTTAATATGTCTATTATAAAATTATCAAGTTTTTACAATCACGATGAAAGTGTCTTCTCTTGACAGCAGAAAAAAAAACATGTTCCGGTGTTAAAATAAGAATTAGAAAATGTGGTAAAAATAACAATGAGACAATTCTCCACCAGAGACCAAATGACGTAGAAGTTAACAATTATAGGCCACCTTACGGCCTTCAACAATGAGAACAAACCCATACCACTCAGTAACCTCATTTTTTTTTCATTAATGTAAATACAATCTTTAATAAACGTATACTTACACTACAAGCAAAACTCTATGAAAAGGTAAAAATGCAGCCCCGTGGTGTATGTCGTCTACTAGTCGCTGATGTAGAAGTCCAAGAGCATCATATCGATTTGGTCTAACAGACTGAAATGATAGTACACAAAAATGTTTCACTTATGTATACTCTCATGTACATCAACCCATGTAGCGTTGTTTTTTTTTTAATTTATTTTTGTTGTATTATTTCGCCTCTCGAGAAATGCTTCCTGAAATTAGCCACCAAAATTGTAAAATTTGTAATTTTCGGAGGATAGATAAATAGCCGATTGTCCCTGTAACAATTTTTTCAGGAATTTTATTGACAACAAAATTTTGTTTTGTTTGATTTTTCTATATTTTTTCTTTTCTAGAAAAGTCAAAATGTCCCATCGTAACGTTACATCCGATGACAGTAGTAGGGAGTGATTTTGGAACGATAGATAACCAATCGACTCATTAACTTGATTTTTCTTGAATCTTATGAACAACAAATCGTGTATATAATTTGTTTTTCGTATATTTCTACTATCACTCTTCACGTATTCAGGTATTTATACATCCTTTAGTTTAAAATTTGTTAGATTTGAGCTAAAATCTAAATGTCCGGTCGGAATTGAAATGTTACATATGATGCCTCGTGTAGGGAGAGTGCCACACTATGTGTACGTAAACGAACCCTTGCAACAACTCTTTGATATGTCCTTTGTATGGTGGCTTCAATCCAGGATAAAACGCCTGCCTTCATCCAACATATATGTACCCTCTTTTGCCAGTGGAAGTCTAAATCAATCCCTGCCCTTTAATCCGGTCGATCTTTTTTGCAGAAAGTACCTATTCAGAATTGGGTTATTGTTATTTGTTTCTTGTCCTGCATATGCATGAAATATTTGTCACTGCACCATAAGTAATGAAAACCAATCATTTGACATTTTAACTGTTTGAATTCGAGCGTCACTTGTGAGTCTTATGTAGACGAACTCTCGTCGTCACAACATTTTAAGCCTGTTATATTTGACGAGTTTCTTTTTTTCCAAAGGGCTAACGGATGTCAACGAAACGGTGGGCACGTAGGATTGAGAAACCAGGAAGCATGTGCTATTAAGAGTGTGGCTTTTAGGTCTTCAAGCTGTTTTAAAAATTTGGTTTTACCTTTGACTAGTTTAATAGTCATACATACCGTATCTCGTTTCAACATGTTTATAGCTCTATGGAAATTGTTTCTTTCCGTGTCTGATAACACTCTGTACTCTTTCCTTATTCGCAACCTCCTTCGTCTTCTACTTGCTTGTCGTTTAAATCTAGAACCCTCCATCTCGTGTTCTGACATACGTAATAATTCATCGACCCAATTTTCTGTTTCTATAGAAATGTTTCCCCATGCTGTTTTTAATAAATGCCAGTTATTTTTCTGAATGCAGTAAGCGTGCGCACTATCCCAATGTGGATCTGATGAATTGCCATTTAACCTTTTCTGATCAAAGCAATTTTTCAATGCATCTGGAGTGTTTATTTCATATATTTTACAGTAAACTTGAATGGAGAGCAATACCAAAATAAGGATGTTTAGGACAGCTGTCGTCATCTGAAAAGAAAACCAAAATTAAAGATGCAGTTATATGTACGATAAAGAAAGCGACATTGAAAGAAAGCTGAAGACACCCGCACAATCGCGGGTACTCAAATTTGATTAATTTGTCTATTATCAATATTTTCGAGTTTTCAACTGATAAAAAAGTAAAATATTATTGTTTTCGTCAAGGGCAAAGTTGTTTTTGTCGTAGACTCAAGTCTTTAGTTTCAATTCGATTTTACTTTTATTCAGGTACGTTGTGGTGCATTGTATTTAACTTTTTGTCGGTTATTATTTCTTTTTTTTTTTGTTGCATTCCCTCGGATTTTAGTTTCCATACCTATAGTGAAGTATTTTAAAAAGTTAAATACTGGATCTTGGAAGAAAAATAGAAAGTACATATCACCATAAACAATGTAACAACATGTACAAAAATGTAGTAATATAGGTATTCCAAAAATGTTATGATCAGTCCATGAAGGCCTAGGGCCTTTACCCTTCATATTTATTAAAGATATCATTCGGACACTTCAGTGCAGAACTGTCATGGCAATGCTCTCCGAAAACAATTTCTGGAGTTTGTTTGTCAATACGTTCAAGACCGCTGATACTAAAAATTGCAAAAAATAGCTTCTAAATATTAGGAGAAAGCCTATCGGTTTTAAGGTCATTAGGTCAAAGGTTAAGGTTAAGGTCTCACAAAAACAGCTGTACATAGTATGATATTCTTCAAGAGCTTGGTTTCTAGATGAAATGTCTGATGGCTTTTATATTACGGGTATATTTTTATTGAGAATATGCCTCCAGATCTGGCGCCTGGCAAGCAAAGGTCACGGAAACCCCTGGCTTAAAACAAATGACCAAAAACGGACTTTCTGTGTATCAAGTCTCTTGAGAAGCATGTATGACAGCTATATAAATAAGAAGATGTGGTATGAGTGCCAATGAGACAACTATCCATCCAAGTCACAATGTGTATAAAGTAAACAATTATAGGTCAAAGTACGGCCTTCAACACGGACCCTTGGCTCACACCGAACAGCAAGCCCCAAAAAGACTAGTGTAAAACAATTCAAACAGGAAAACCAGGAAAACGGTCTAATCCATATAAAAAACGAGAAACACTTATGATGATTGTATAGATTGAAAATTTCAAACGCTGTTTCTAGATCACATGTCTTGAGATATAATTTTTTTTTCTTATTTACAGCAATATTTTGTATTTTTTACTAATATTATTGGAAATTCCGGGGAACCATTGGTGGAGAAACCCTTTTTGTTTATTGCTACAGGTGGAAAATTACCGTTAAAAGTAAATGGGGTTTTTTTTCCATCAGAGCATACTACCGGGGGTATCTTGCACCCTTGAAGTTCTAGACAGACCTTATATGGTACTAATGTTTTGTCCTCTCTAAATAATTCAATGTATTTGCATCAGCTGACAGTGCCAACTTTTTACTTGCTTGATATTACTATAGTGTCATAGACATATCCAAATTGATATAAGATGGATATTAACGTGCAGGATGGCTATACTTCACATCAGCAGGTTATTTACTTTGAGCTCTTTGAAACGGTATGTTTAGGTTGGTGTTTTTGTCCTTGCACTTGTGGTTTTTGTTTATCTTTTATACTGCTAATTTAGAGTAAAGGGATGTTTCTATACTGATTATTTATTTGCTGTATTTACCTTGTTAGTCTTGTGCTCGAGATTAAAACGGGAGGATTGATATCTCACAAAACTAGTTTTACCTCATCAAAAGTCAATGTCACGAACCGCGTCAGTGGCTGTCTTATACCATATCTCTTTTTCTTCATTTGTTAGAATTTGGTGTTGATGGCAATCTTGATAGCTTCTGTTTAAATCATTCACATCATTTTTTACAGATTTGCGACGATTTAGAACTTTACATATTGTTTAGACATCTGTCTATTGTTGAAGGCTGTATGTTGACATCTAGATCTTTTGATTATCTGTGTTGCTGGGATGCTGTGTGAGGTATACCAGTATATATGCACATATCTTTTTTTTTGGCAAAATAATTTTGAAAAAATACCCACATTAACATATTTGTATAAGTCATATTTTAGCTAAATTTTTTGGGGAGAAAGGACATGACTCAATTCTAATTTAAGATCTTAATTTGAAATTATAACATGGAGTTTAGTATTTAATGCAAGAAGTTAAAGGCAAATATCCAAGAAAAAATTCAAAATACGGGTTATTTAACGCGAAGAGTTGACGGTTGTTATTTCTTTGCTTGAAATGTATGATATCAACCTTAAAGTTTTGTGTGATGCGTGTTTTGACAGTTCTTCAAAGTTTCGATGATTTCGCGCATGCCTTCTAAAAAATTAGTTTTGAATAAAGGAAAGATTTTATACTACGAAATACATTTAAATTTATAGCAAACAGACTGCCAAGGATGCGAAGCAAAAGGTATTTCATTTAAAAGAAATGCTTAAATTGGAACAATTCTATCTGAATATTTCTTAATTTTGATTCAGGATATGACGAAGTCATGTAATGCGCAACATAACCGGCCGAGTAGACACAAGGGATTCCACTTCAAATGAAACACTCGTGCTTTTTTTAGAATATTAATAATAATCTTTAATAAATTTCACTAGCAGGAACTTTATATGACACTTTAAATCACACATTTTTACTTGCCATATACAATTTGAGGGATGCCACTTTTGGAGCACCTGAGATCATCCCGTGTTTTGTGGTGAGTATCGTTATGTTAAGTTTTATTTTCTGTGTAGTGTTTAGAAGTCTCAAGTCTTTAATATGTTATGTTATATGTAAATATCAAATTAAAGTATCTGACATTATCTGTTATAATCCTAATTCATTTTGATTTTTTGCCGTCTTTTTATGCTTTAATGTTTACACTAACTATAATTTCTAAATAATTTTTCAGCAAATACATTTTGGAAAAAAAAAATCCATGTTTCTGTAAAATTTGAAAATTATACATCATTACATTACTAACAGATAGAATATATTTTTTTATTGAATTTTATGATTAAATGTATAACCTTAGATATGAAATACTTACTTCCATTGTTATAATAGTCCAATTACATTAGAAACAACATACGTTTTCCAGAACACACACTTTCGGTTAGGACTGTTTTTCCTTTCTGAGTCGACCGCCTTTCATAGCTCTTTGATAGGAAAGGGAAATTGAAAAAACGATTTAGTCATTTTATTGATGACTTGCTAATTAATAATCTAACAATAATGTTTTTCTCGTTTGTCAATTACACAATTTTGAAGTTTTACATATTTTGTCTGATATATTTGAATAACAAATTAAATTGAGAATATTAATTGGTTATTCACCTGATGTTGTTTTTTAATCAGGATAGACTAAGTACTGTATACCCTTTTTAATCACGTACACAATGCAGTTTCAATAATGCAAATAATTAAAATGGGGTTTTTATTCAATACTATAGATAATCACACGTCAATCAAAAGTACAGTTCTCAAGATATAAGTTTTAATTATCACAAATATGTTTTTTTCATTGTACTGTGGCGGTCTTAATTTTTTTTCTTCCTGATTAATGTAGTCGTTGATGTGGAGGGGTGATAGATGTTTGCGAGCCCAACCCTCCCCGTAACCTGGAACAGTGTTTTAACAGCACAACATAGGAAAACTATAAAAAAAAAAAAAAAACAGGTGAAAAAGCCTTTTTTATTTGATGCTCTTAAGCGGTATTGTTTTTTGTTGTTTTTTGTTGTTGTTTTTTTTTTTTTTTTTGGGGGGGGGGGGGGGGGGGGGCGGGTTAGTAGTCTCTAGCGTTCATGATGTGTTTTTTTCTTCTTCTATATTTAATGACGCCATGACTGTGTATGTAGGTGACAATGGGTCTGTAATTGATTTTTCTAACTTTAAAATGTGATTTGTAACAAAATCTTGACAACAGTGAAAAATTCGAGACTGTACAATATTACACGCATTGTCCTGAAATATCAACATAAAATAATGACTTATATGTTATTCTTTTTAAAAAGTTCAATTGCATTCACAAATTCCTTCCTTTTTCGACACTGTCTCGGTGGTCTCGTGGTAGCGTGTTCGCCTCGACTGCAGGAGGTCGTGGGTTCGAACTCCGGCCGGGTCAAACCAAAGACTTTAAAATTGGTATTTGCTGCTTCTCCGCTAAGCAACCGCATTAAGGAGTAAGAGCAAAGACTGGTCGGTTCGGAGTCCGAATAATGTGTCCGGGTATAGTGACATGTCTTCATGCTAATTGTTACCTTGTGAACTAGCACGTAAAAAATCCGGTTCAGCGTGTCGGTCTAGTACAAAGCAGGGATACTATAAAACTAAGATATTTTTGTCCTGAATATGCATATTAATTTGCCGCTGGACGTTAAACAGTCATCCATCTTCATCATCATCCTTTTTCGATTGCAGTAGTTCAACTGTTAATAACTGGTCACGTGCTTTATGAGCAATACATGGACATATTTTAAAACTAAAACATACACTAGTTAACCAATCGTCTTGTAGGTTGTTTGTCCATTTTAGTTTAAAAAGTAGGTCAATAATGTTCCTCCGATGACCCAGTTTGCTTTAGCCAGTCTTTACTTTAACATTTAGCAGAGTTCCACCTAAAGGAGTATGGTTTTTACACCTGACTGTTTTGTTTAACTGTTCTTGATAATAATTCAAATACAATCGAGCACCGGATAGACAATTGGTTAATATGTTTTAGGTTTTGGCTGCAAACTAAGATGAACAGTATCAATCCTGTACTTCAGGAATGAACTAATATTTCGCAGATTTCAAGTGACATCAATAACATAAATTGGTTCAGGAAAATTTTGGAATTCGTTAGCGAAACTTTAACTAATTTTTTGAAAGATTACCCTGTCAAATTTGAAATATTAAAAAAAAAAAGAACGAAATAAAGGTACGATAAGAGAATCAACTGTAGATAAAGGGAATGATTCGCTTATTTTAGATAGATTAGTGTCTATTGTACATTTGCATGCTGGACAAGACCAGTTATAATCAAATTTAATACTGAAAATACCGGTTAAAGTAAGTACCATGTATAACATCTAAAGACCACTATTACTGATTTAAAATCCTACATGTATTTAAGAGAGAAAAAAAGAGGAAGCGCGAGGTATTGCCACTTTTTCGTGAGTTTGTCTAACGAGACTATTTTAGTAGTTTTTAGTTCGTTATTTTTTTTGAAGATGTTTGAAAGCCTAAAGCAAATGTGATAGAAAAAACCTCAATTCTTATATCTGACAGATAAATGTCTTTTGAGGTGGTGAGGAAACATTTTTTGATTGATTTAATCAATTTCAAAAGTATGAATAGAGCACAACAGGTGGTTGATTTAGGAACATTAAACAACATAAACTACCTACTGATATATCATATGTACTAGCATAGTACACTTATTCAAAATACTGTCTAGATTACGTACTTTTGGCAAATAAGTACTCGAAATTTACAAAAAAATTTGAAAATTGCAGGTTTGGTTATATAGAAGAATTTACATGTAGAATCTCATTAAATGTTAAGAAATATAATATGACGTTATTAGACCCATAAAGTACAATGTCAAACACGAAGCTCTGTCAAATTAAACTGCTTTATGATTCATAGAGTGTAGCTGAAATAAATACAAGTACAAGGAAAATGTGGCAATTTGTTTACATCGAGATTAACACCGGCACGTTAAGCATTGAAATAAAATTTGATTAATTACATCTAACTTGTGCATAAACATACAACTGTTGCAATCTTTTTTTTAGGGATGCATACATATGACGCCTCCTGTAGAATGTTATGCTATCTACATGTAAAAGAACCTTTGCAATGAATTACTGCATCCGAGAAACAAAATACCTTCAGAGATGCTTAGCTTTTAACATGATCTCACTTACTTAATTCTTTTATTGATTAGAATGGGACTAGAATATACTTTTCTTATCCAAAATAAACTTAAAATTAGATGTAAAAAGGAAAACCAATTAATTTTTAAAAAAACCTGCATATTTCGTCATTGTTAGTTGTCATGTTAACTTGTCAAATAAGAAATTTGTTTTGATTTTCTATACATTTTTTATCTATATGTATTGTTAGGGCAAATTTATGATCATTTATGATCACTTTTAAATTTGCACTTATATTTGGGTCAAATAAGGAGCCGTATTGCCCTTACTCCTTTGTTTACCATTTGAAAGTATAAAATTAGTGATTTAATGTTCATAAATATTGAAAAGGTGTCACAATTAGCCGTCATCTGTTAATAACTTTTAATAGTTAATTTTCTGATTCAAATCATTCGTAACAAAGTTCTAAAATATATCTATAGTTGTTATAACTAACTTGTATGTCATTTGGTCTCTGGTGGAGAGTTGTCTCATTGGCAATTATACCACATCTTCTTATTTTTATATTTGTCGTACATTTACGGTACAAACCAACACCTTTCTAATCCTGATTGATTGGATAAGTAAGTACCAGCAACGATCCTAATGAATGACACAATAGGGAAATGCATATATTTAAAGGTTATCGTAATGCATTCACAAGTATTTTGACAAAACTTTAAATATTTTAATTTATAATCTTATTTGCGTAAAGGAAATACAATGTATTTGTTATGTCATTCATAGGGCTTTTAAGTGCGATTTGTTATTATTCGTAGTACATTGTAGTACGTATCTAATATTTGTGGCCGTTTTATTTTTGCACTTTAACTTTAACTGAGTAGATGTGGTATGTTTGCCATTGAGAAAACAACCCAGAGAAAATGAAGTGGTAGTAAGCAATTAAAGGCCACCGTGCAGTCTTCTGCAACGAGAAAATCCCATCCTGTATAGTCGACTATAAAAGGCCCCGACACGCAAAATGTGAAACAATTCATACAGAAAACTAGCGGCCTACTTGTTATAGTAATAAAAAGAGGTGTTTTAATCTTGTGACACAGTTTTAGATTACAAATGTAGTTACAAAGTATTCTCCAGGAAGTCATTAGACATCCGAAAAATATTGATTATTGAAAGAAATCTTTCATTCTATACTTTTATTTTTAACTTAGTCATTTTCCATATACAAATTATAACATATTCATGTATTGTAGAAAATGTCTCTCTCATGCATAGCTCTGACTTCTTGTCCGGAGTTGGCTATACCTTTTGTCCATTTTGGTTTCACCAGCTCTACAAGTGGGTTTTCGATTTTCAAATATTTCGAAGTATATCATCACTGAGGGAACATTAATTTATCAAAACTCGCATCTGGTACAGTAAAGTTGTTACCGTTTATGATATTGATACCAATAGCTTTAAGTCGATACCTCTGTTGTGGAGTCCCCAAGGGAACTGGGGAATAAAAATATGGTCACTACAGGTCTTCTTCCGACCGGCAGTAAAACCCTTGCCAAAGTGGGGCGTCCGTTTGGCTGTGCGGGATGTATCAAGTAAGCAGCCACGTCCGGTCAGAATGGGAACGTCAAATCCGATGCCTCGTGTAGAGAGAGTGCCATGCTCTCTGCACGTTAAGAACCCTTGCAACAACTCTTTAAGAGGTCCGTAGGTGGCCTGTTGCAAGGCTAAATTTCTACCCCTATCCATTATACCCTCATTTTCCATTGGCAGTCCGAATTTACCTCGACCTTCGTTCCGAACGGCCTCTATTACAGGACTTACCTATTGTATTTATTGTTAATTTGTTCTAATCCTGAACATGCATGAAATATTTGCCACTGGACGTTAAGCAATCACCAATCAATCAATCTGCTTGTGGACTATTTGTCCAAATGGTAACACTAGCCCAGTAATATGCTGGCTTTGTTTTGTTGAAATTTGCTGTTTATAAACTTTTAGATGTTATTTTAAATTAAGAAATGTATCTACATGTACCCTATGCATATCTCTGATTCTTTTTTCGGATTTTGATGTACAATTGGCTTCATCAGCTCTTCATATTAACATTAGTTTTTGGATTTTCGAATATGTTGGCCTAGAGCATTACTGAAGAGACATTAATGGTGGATTTTCAAATATGTTGGCCTAGAGCATAATTTACTGAAGAGACATTAATGCAAAATGCGCATCTGGTGAAGTAAAAATTGATACCATTTATGTTGTACTAATTGTATATTTTTGGAGACAGTATTTTTGCAAAGTGGATCG